TTTCAAATATTTATGTAGCTATATAATATTTAATTAGACTTTTCCATTCTCAGCAAAAATTTACTTCAAAGTATTTGTTGATAAGATTGATCAGCAGGTGAGTAGATAAAATTTAAACAGACTTTTCCAGCCTTGGCCAGTTTGGCTCAGCGGTTAGGCCATTCGCCCGCAAACCAAACAGTCGAGGGTTCGATTCCAGTCATGGGCACGTACCACCATTGCAGTTTGGTCCCTGGCTTTGGTCAGAGTCATGCTGGGGGCAACCATTCCATGTCTTACTCTGTCTCCCTCCCACTCTATCTGAAGATAAATGGAAAGGTATCCTCGGGTGAGGATTTAAGAATAAATAAATAAAAAGTTTTTTCCATAAAAACTTTGATGTAAGGAATATAAAGGAAAGTAAGCATATATATTCTGGTAGATTTTAATAGAAGATCTTTATATGAATCATTGTTTTTTAACTTAACAAATAGCTATTTGTGAAATTTTAATAGACCTTTGGTTATATATCAGAAAAATTAATGTTAATTTTCTATATTTGCTTTAGATACTGCATTTAAAATAAAATAGCCAGTGTGGCTATTTTGTTTGGTTGGGTGCAGGAATTTGGCTCCTTTATCATCTATTTATTAAAATTAAATTTGTAATAAGTACCTCAGAAAGAAATTAAAATAGAGATATTGAGAACTACTTAGTATTAAATGATTATATTCATAGATAGGAATTTTTGATGTTTGATTTCTCTAACCAATAATTATTTTCAAATTCTTTTCTGACCTTTCTAGAGGATGTCAAACGTCTAAATGAAAAACTTAAAGAAAGCAACGCAACAAAAGGTGAACTTCAGTTAAGATTGGATGAACTTCAAGCTTCTGATGTTTCTGTTAAGGCAAGTAACAAATTATACCTAATGAACAAAATTTATTTTTTTGTTTAAATTTCACCTAAATTAAGTTTAGGCAAGTTATCTATAACGTAATTAAAGCTGTGTTTTGTTTTTTTTAATATAAGGTAATTGAGCATTAAGTTAATTTTAATTGAATTGTTTTGCTTATGTGATATTTAAATTTCTTGTTCTTTTCTGATTTTGTTTTCTGTTAAGAATTCTTACAATACTATTTCCATTGTAAAGTAATTCTGCTTGTGTTCTTTGGCTGCAGACAAAATCTTTTAAATATATATTATCCTTCACTATAAATTTTTTTAAACTTTTTTAGTATCGAGAAAAACGCTTGGAGCAAGAAAAGGAATTGTTACATAATCAGAATACATGGCTGAATACAGAGTTAAAAACCAAAACTGATGAACTTCTGGCTCTTGGCAGAGAAAAAGGAAATGAGATTCTAGAGCTTAAATGTAATCTTGAAAACAAAAAAGAGGAGGTATGTTAGTAAAATTCTACCTTTGTGTTGGGTACAATTACATTTGTGTACCAATTTATTAAACATTTATTTGGTGGTGTACAAAAGTAAATGAAGGAGTAAGGGTCAAATGTGGAGAACATAACTCATAACATTTGCCTGGGAAGCTAACCAATTACTTTTAAATAGAATTTATGATATTCTTTGATGAATTTTGGTACTACTGCTGTCTTATGGTATATCTTTCCTCAGACATGTTTAAGAAGTGATGATAAGATTTTGTGAGCCGCTGTGGCTCGGTGGATTGAGCATTGTGCCAGGGACTGAGAGGTCCAGGTTCTATTCCTGGTTAGGGCACATGCCCTGGCAGCCAGCTCAATCCCCAGTAGGGGGCAGCAGAAAGCAGCTGATCAATGTTTCTCACATTCATGTTCTAACTCTCCCTTCCTCACTCTAAATAATCAGTTAAAAACAAAAAAAGATTTTTGTGAGCTAGTTGTTTCATGAACTATTCTTTTTCATCATTCTCCCTCCACCTAACTCTACTTTTTGTTTCTAGGTTACTAGAATAGAAGAACAGATGAATGGCTTGAAAACGTCCAATGAAAATCTTCAAAAGCATGTAGAGGATCTGTTGACCAAACTGAAAGAGGTATAGCGACCACTTTAAAATGTCTCTTACAGAAATATTAAGTCCTTTATGAAACTGTTATTTTATAAAATTTATGTTTTGAACTGTTCCTGGTACCATAAAATAAGATGCTTACCTAATTACATATAATAATTATGTGCTATATCCAAAGTATCTGAGTATCATTAATTTTAATATTATTTAAGTATTCCACTTTTATTAATATTTTATCAATAAGTAATTCATCTTTATCATGAAAATTTATTTTAATATAGTTTTTAAATTTTATCTCATTACTATGCAGAACTGTCCTTTTGTATCTTGGTGTTTGATAAGCCTTCTAAATTCAGTTCAAAGGTGTCTGCTGTAGTTTTTGTGTTTGTTTTTTTTCAGGCCAAGGAGCAGCAGGCCAGTATGGAAGAGAAGTTCCACAATGAATTAAATGCTCACATAAAACTCTCTAATCTATACAAGGTAGGTATCCTACCACACATTTTAGTGTTTTAATGTTATATTATCGGATGTTGTGGTTAAGTTTTTAAATTAAATTTTAGAGTGCTGCTGATGACTCCGAGGCAAAGAGCAATGAACTGACCCGAGCAGTGGCTGAATTACACAAACTTTTAAAAGAAGGTGGAGAAGGTAACTTCTCAGTTCTGCAAAGATTATTTTATTTTTAGATAGAAAGTACTTTTTCTTTGCTTTTGTGTAGATTGTTGAATTTAGAAGTTAGATTAACTTTATTAGGGACACAAGCTCTGGTATAGAAGACAGATCCTGAATTAAGATATTTTAAATTATATCTTTAGCAAATACTATATTTAAAAACATAGATACTATTTTTGTATTTTGTTCAGCTAATAGCCTTATGTATATAATCTGATTTCTAGTAGAAAATTTTTCTTCCATTTTAAAAATACTTTGGTAAGTACATACGGGTTTATAGTTTGGATAATCTCTTAATCAGTAAACAAGCCTCACTTTTAAATTATAAATAGTATATTTTAAAGTCTGTGATTTTCTTATGTTCTTGCTGTTTTGAAATGTAATTTATTTATGTATAATCTGTTTCAGTTATTTTCTATCTTCTAGACTAAGGATCAGGTTAAAACCAAAGAGATACTTAGAGGCACTTTTTTATAATTTGAGTTCTCTTATTTTCCCTATGGATGGGAGACATAAAAAGGAGAAATAGATGCCAGGCCAGGACATTTCTGGAATCATAAGTAGAGCAAGAGCTTTCAGTGTAATAACTATTAACCACAACTTGTCTAGAATTAAATATTGTCTGATGGAGGGGAAAATGACTATTCTATTACATTTTATAAGCTCCAACATTTTAATTATATGTTTGAATATTGCCTTTACAAATGTTTTTAGCAAATAAAGCAATACAAGATCATCTTCTGGAGGTAGAGGCATCTAAGGAGCAAATGGAAAAAGAAATGCTTGAGAAAATAGGGAAATTGGAGAAAGAACTAGAGAATGCAAATGACCTGCTTTCTGCCACAAAACGTAAAGGTATGGATTACAATGCTTATTAATGGCTTGAAATACTAGAACTTGCCTACATGGGTCTTACTTAATTTTACTAACTGAATTTCTCTGTCATGTTGTGATGTAGGAAATTCCATCAAGCTATAGCATTAGAATGTGCTTTTAGGTTAAAATTAGTACTTTATATGTTCCTTTACTGTATTGTCATATGGAAGTACCATTTGGTCACACATAACTGTGTGTCAATTTTCAGAATAATTATTGCATGATTTTTTAAATTGAGTTGTGTTATATTACTCTTTGATGTCATATTTTTAAATGTAGAAATTTATATGTAATATGTAATAGGTGTCACTTATTTGAAAAAAATTTAATGCCTTTAATTTGAAATCCTACAAAAATATACTAGCTTTCTGTGTGTTGGTACAGGAGCCATATTATCTGAGGAAGAGCTTGCAGCCATGTCTCCTACTGCAGCGGCCGTAGCTAAGATCGTGAAACCTGGCATGAAGTTAACTGAGGCAAGAATGTTGTTAAATGTTATTTTCTTTTAGCAAAAGTGTTCAGATCTCTCTGAAACTTAATGCTTAGAAACAATATTTTTAAAATCGTCTGATGATTAATCTTTTATTCTAGGAAAGGCTTTCTTGGTTCCTCGTTCTTTGTAACATAGTAAATATCTGTGAAGTGCTAATGAATATTTATTATGAAGATAGAGAGACTATATACTTATATTTGTTATGACTACATTTGAAATGAACCCTCTTGTACTTTCAGTTGTATAATGCTTATGTGGAAACTCAGGATCAGTTGCTTTTGGAAAAACTAGAGAACAAAAGAATTAACAAGTACTTAGATGAAATAGTGAAAGAAGTTGAAGCCAAAGCACCAATTTTGAAACGCCAGCGTGAGGAGTATGAACGTGCGCAGAAAGCTGTGGCGAGTTTATCTGTTAAGCTTGAGCAAGCTATGAAGGTTGGTTCCATTCCCAAATTTTTGCTGTAGGAAAAATACATATGAGAAACAGTAATTATAAATTTTAAAGTTTGTCATTACATTATGAAACACCTCTAATCACAAAATGGTCTACCTTTATTCAGCTAAAATTGTGAGAGCCTTTTACATTTTTAAAGATATTTGGGATTGCCCTGGCCGGTTTGGCTCAGCGGTTAGAGCGTCAGTCTGCGGTCCAGAGAGACCCGGGTTCAGTTCCCGCTAAGGGTGCGTATCTCGGTTGCAGTTTGTCCCTGGCCCTGGTTGGTCGTGTGGGTGGCGATCATTCGATGTGTCCCTTTCACGTCGATGTTTCTTTCTCTCTCTTCCTGTTTCTCTCTCTCTCTCCCACTCTATCTGAACAGAAAATGGAAAAATGTCCTTGGGTGAGGATTAAAAAAAAGATATTTGGGATTATTTCTGTAGGGGTCTGTAGCAGATGATGAGTAGCCCCAGATCTATCTTTGTAGTAGAATGCTCCTAAATTTAGCATAGTCATATTTTGTCAAACAGTTGTGGTGCAAACTCATTCACTAACTATGCGTGATGTTGCAGAACTGAGGGGAATTCGGTTTGCTAAAGTAATTGTGATTGAAATGTAATAGCCTCAGAAACAGCTGAGTTGGTCCATTCTCTCCTCATACAGTGTGGGGGGAAAATTTGTGGTAATTCTGTCTAAAAATTATATTGTTTCACCATAGAGTAGAACTTTTTTATACCATGTGACCATTTGGGAAATCTTTATATACATTATTTTATTCCTGTTCCTTTACATGTTGTCACTACCAAAGAAATTCATAAATATCTTTTACCTCTTAAGATTCCATTTTATAGATAATGATGAAGTAAGTATTTATACGCTGATAATTTTGCTTTTAGGGTATAACTATTAATATTACTGAGAAATCTTCAAGATGTAGTAAGTTTTTTTTGAGGAAATTCAATTAAGTCAAATTGCATCCCCTGTTCTAAAGTGATAAATTTCATTTCCTTCCTTCCCTTTTTTTTGAGACTAGTGTAAATAAATTGTATCCTTAATTCAAATTTAAACTTTTGTTACTATTGCTGATATAATTTAGGCATCAGTTTAAATCAGAGTATGTTATATCTAATTGTTTCTCTCCTAAATCATATGACATCTACCAGTTTTACTTTAACAGAATATTGGCTTTTTGATGCCTCCCTTTCCTCATCTGGTTTCAGCAGTGTCCCTTGGGTCTGATTAGATTTTGAGTTTCTCACTGTTTAGTGAGCATTTTTCCTGGACCTTATTGTCTGAAGTGGACAGATAGTGAGGTAGAGGGGCTTAAGAATCAGAAAATAGCAGTTCATAACTGCCAACGAATGTAAAGATAATTCTTACAGCATTTTTGAATAGATGAATCTTCTTACCTTAACATACGTCCAGTATCCTTCAGTCCAGATTCTGTGATGATTATTTGTTAGATTTTTAGGGTTTTATAACCAACTAACTTCCTTCCTAGACATCTTAATCCCATTTTGAGCTCAGTAGATTTGTGTTATTGCCATAGTCTATAAAATTGCCTGCTTCATTTTGTCACATACTCATGTTTATTTGAAATTGGCTTATGCATACCTTTAGGGCAGTATGCTCAGAAATACTTGGAACACCAACATAAATATGAGCCATGTTTTACATGAATAGTATTTTAAAATTTTGTATTTGAAAACAACACACTAAGAAGCAAACTTTGTATGAATTTGAGGTAACATATAATATTTCAAAGATATTTTGTGCTTATATCAGGCTCCTTAAAACTGTACCTCTAATTCCCTAATGATATACTATGATACAAAACTTTACAAAGCACTACATACACTGTCATTGTTGGTTTATTGTTTTTGTTTTTTAATCAGGCTTGTGACATTGACTACTGATTCTTTAAAATTAATTTCTCATGCGTTTTTTATAAAATCAAGTCTTTTATACATCTTACTCAATATTCTTTACTTGATATTTTCAGATAACCAGTGTAATAGTGATTTTTTTATTTTCCTCACCCAGGACATTTTTGCATTTATCTTCAGATAGAGTGGGAGGGAGAGAGGGAGGAAGAGAGAGAGAGAGAGAGAGAGAGAGAGAGAGAGAGAGAGAGAGAGACATCGATGTGAGGGAGACACATCGACTGGTTGGCACCCATACAACCCCAACCGGGGCCAGGGACAAACCACAACCGAGGCATATGGCCCTTATCGGGAACTGAACCTGGGACTGTCCGGTTCGCGGGCCGACGCTCTAACTGCTGAGCCAAACTGGCCAGGGCATAATTATTATTATAATGTAGTCCTTGGTTTTTGTTTAAGTAACAAAACCTTTGAGATTATTTATGTGGTATCAGTTGAATTTGGTGTGGCTATATAATTGTAATTGACAGTTAATTTGGAGGGACTGGCACATTGCCCATCATTTTCTTTTTTATCTTCACTCAAGGACTTTTTTTTTTTTCCATTTTTTGTTCAGATAGAGTGGAAGGGAGAGAGAGAGAGAGAAACATCGATGTAAAAGGGACACATCGAGTGGCTGCCACCCGCATGACCAACCAGGGCCGGGGACAAACTGCAACCGAGGTACGTGCCCTTAGCAGGAACCGAACCCGGGTCTCTCTGGACCGCAGTCCGATGCTCTAACCGCTGAGCCAAACCGGCCAGGGCCCATCATTTTCATATAGTGATGAGCACTATAATGATGAGCAATTTTTGAGATATTAAGAAATACATGTATTCATATTTATTTATTTATTTATTTTTTTATCCTCATCTGAGGATATTTTTCCATTTTTTGTACAGATAGAGTGGGAGGGAGAGAGAGAAAGGGAGAGAGAGAGCGAAATATCGATGTGAAGGGACACATCAAGTGGCTGCCACCCGCACGACCAACCAGGGCCGGGGACAAACTGCAACCGAAGTACGTGCCCTTAGCGGGAACCGAACCCGGGTCTCTCCGGACCGCAGGCCGACGCTCTAACCGCTGAGCCAAACTGGCCAGGGCATGTATTCATATTTATAAAGAATCTCTCTTTAAGGGCTACTGTACTATATAGAATACATGTTATATAGAATGTTTTTAGTTTATAAGTTGATTGCAAGGGTATTTGAGCACTGTATGTTTTTGTTATTCGTATAACTGCTTCATTTGTATAGCTCTTAGAAGGAAATACAGAATTTTCACATGAATTTACATTTTGAAGGAGATTCAGCGACTGCAAGAGGACACTGATAAAGCCAATAAACATTCATCTGTACTTGAAAGAGACAATCAGAGAATGGAAATACAAATAAAAGATCTTTCACAACAGGTTTGAAGTTTATGCTTCTTTTCTTGTTTTATCTCCCTGATCTGACATCCCAGTGATCTTTGAGTCTGTTTGCAGTTGTCTTAAGAGGGAACCACCACATTTGAATGTCTTATTAAATAGGAAATACCGCTGGAGCAGAATTGCAGCCTAGTCATTGTTTTTTCATAACCCCTCCTTTTTTCTTTTGTCAGGTGTTTGATAAATTTGGAAATTATAGATACTCGTAATAAGTAAAATAACTCAAAGATAAATAAAAGTTCTTTCCCCCCATGTCCCAGAGTATAACCAAACAACAGACTTCTGTATATTCTTCCATGTCATTCTTTCTATATGTACAAACACACCTGAGCATACATAAACACATATAAGTTTTCTTTGTTTTTACTGATACAGAACCATGTTATATTCATTACTCTGCTTTTTTTTAAATCGAACTAGTCAGGAAATATACATCTATTTTCATTCATATAGTTTACCCTAATTTTTATTTGTGGGTTTACACACATAAACGCAATACAAAAATTTTACATGAATGAAATTAAAATCTATTTTTCATGCTCTTCTGCTCCATTATACAATACATATAAGGATGCAAGTGCAACCGTGCACTTATACACACATTACGTATCTATTTCTCTGTATTGTATTGGGTTATTGTTTTACCAAAAATTGAGCCATGCTTCCGGAATTGTAGTTTGGCACATTATTTCATTGTATACTTTTATAGAAATGAAAATAGCTCTTTTTATTAAACTTTATTTTAGGTTTTAATATCTAAAATGATATGCTTGATATTTTTTAAGATAATATAAGTTGATGGTGTTTATAAAGTAGTATTTTCATTTGAAAATTTTCATTTTCTCCAGAATTGAAGCCAGTACTATTTGATAATATATTAAAACTTTGTTTATAGATTAGAGTGCTTTTGATGGAGCTTGAAGAAGCAAGGGGTAACCATGTAATTCGTGATGAGGAAGTAAGCTCTGCTGATATAAGCAGTTCATCTGAAGTAATATCACAGCATCTAGTATCTTACAGAAATATTGAAGAACTTCAACAGCAAAATCAGCGTCTCTTAGTGGCTCTTAGGGAACTTGGGGAAACTAGAGAAAGAGAAGAACAAGAAACAACGTCATCCAAGTAAGTTATTGACTACCTTGGTTTGTTTAGCAAACATTTGTTGAAAACTTCTTATGTACCTCCTAACAGTGCTAGATACTGAGAATTAGTGATTAGGAGAGAGAGAGAAATTAAGCAACAATACCAAAAAAATAAAACATTTTCAGAGACCTCAGTTTGTGGATGAGCTCAATAATAAGATAGATACATAAGTAGATCATTTTAGTTCAGTGTGATTAGTGCTATAATAGATAAAAGCTTGCTCGTGGGAACATAGAGGTGGAGGATGTAGTCTAGGTTTTAGAGAACAGACCTGGCTTTGTGGAGAAGATGTGTAGGAAGTTTTATTCAGGCAGAGTAAAGAATTTTTAAAAAATGTGTTTGGTGCTAGAGGAGAAAAATGGCTATGAAAGCAAGAAGACTCGAGGTTAGACTGGTGGAATTGGTTTAACTTTTGCAAACAAAATTTTCAGGTTGACAGTGGTGAATGCCTGAGTCCTCTGGTGGGGCTTTAAAAGTGGTTCGTACAATATCAGTAGAAAGAAAGGTCATAAGAGAGACAAAAACATGCTTAGTGATAGATACTATAAAATTCTTAGTCATTGTATACAGTAGAAATTATAACTGCCTCTTAATCTCAGTGAAATAGACTTACAGTTGGTTTTTTGTAGAATTACTGAGCTTCAGCTCAAACTTGAAAGCGCCCTCACTGAATTGGAACAACTCCGTGGGTCACGACAACATCAGATGCAGCTTGTCGATTCCATAGTTCGTCAGCGGGATATGTACCGTATTTTGTTGTCACAAACAACAGGAGTTGTCATTCCTTTACAAGGTACGTTTTTATGTCTTGTCTTAAAAGTTTCCAAGTATTTGGAGAAAATTTTTATGAAATGTATGTTAGGAAATGGATTTTGCAACATAAGCAGTTTATATAATGATGGTAACTTCAAATTTGACTACCATGTATGACTGATCATAACTGGTCATCAATCTTAAAGAATACCATTGTTTTAGTTCTTGTTAAGAAGAAATGCTGACCATTATTGAAAAGTGTACATCTTAAAATTAATTAAATATATTTATTTTGGTCATGTTTTAACCTTTAATCTGCAGATAAAATCTAATGAGAAGCTCAAAATAATATTAATAGGTTATTTACTAGGTTCCTTGTTTCATAATTTCTGCAATCTATGATTTTACTTAAATATGTCTAGCTTGTTGATTTTGAATGATGTATTTGCAAAGAAATGTTACATCTTTTTTACATTTCTGAAGCTTCAAGCTTAGATGATATTTCTCTTGTGTCAACTCCAAAACGTTCAAGTACATCACAGACTGTTTCCACGCCTACTCCAGTACCTATAATTGAGTCAGCAGAGGCTATAGAAGCCAAGGCTGCCCTTAAACAGGTAAAGACCACACACCTTTACAACCTATCTTTGGTTAGGTTTTTGAGAACAGATTGTCATCTAATAATTTCTCTAATATTTAGTTGCAGGAAATTTTTGAGAACTACAAAAAAGAAAAGGCAGATAATGAAAAAATACAGAATGAACAGCTTGAAAAACTTAAGGAACAAGTTACAGATTTGCGATCACAAAACACCAAAATTTCTACCCAGCTAGATTTTGCTTCTAAACGGTAAATTTTCTTTTGTTCACAAATTGATGAAGTCCGGGGCTCACTTCAGCAGCACATATACTGAGATTGGAATGATCCAGAGAAGATTAGTATGGCTCCTGCACCGGGGTGGCTCGGACAGTTGTGACATGTTCCATACTTTTTAACTTTGGGTGGTGGGTACACAGTACAAAATACAGATGCTATGTCATAGAATTGTATACTTCTAACCCATGTAATTTTATTAACCAGTGTCACCCCGGTAAGTTTAATTTTAAAAAATCATAGATTATCAAAAAAAATTGATAAAGTCTAAATGGTATACTTTAGTATTCAAGTGAACCAAATTCAAGGGTTAATTTGCCACACTGTTACTTTTTTGTGGACCATAATCCAGATGAGAAGGTATAAGGGTTTAGTTTTAATGTTGGTTAATGATTCTCTTGGGAGTTGATAAGGGATCCAGATAGTTATTTTTTGTTTGTTTGGTTGGTTATTTTATTCTCACCCGGGGGTATTTTTCCATTTATATTCAGACAGAGTGGGAGGGAGAGAGGGGAGAGAGAGAAACATCGACATGAGAGGGACACATCAACTGGTTGCCTCCCACAAGACCCCGACCAGGGCCGAGGACAACCCACAACTGAGGTACATGCCTTTGACCAGAATCGAACCCGCAGCTCATTGGTCCGCAGGCCAGCGCTCTACTGCTGAGTCAAACCGGCCAGGGCCACATAGCTATTTAAAGCTGAAGTTCACGTGAGGAATGTTGCTACTTTTCCTTCCTGAGATTGAAATGCCTCCTGTTTCTGTTGAACTTAATTATTTTATAAATGCACCAGAGGATGAGCATAACGTGAGCTAATTTTATTCAGCCCTTTCTATTTTAGGTAGAAGACAAGCAGGTACTGGTTAATTTGGGGAAAATTCACTTTCTCAGTCACTTACAAAGGAATAATAGATTTCATTCTATAGTTATTAGATCCATCAAATACTTGTTAGTTTAACAAGTAGAACAAATGTTATTTCTTTGTGTACAGGCACATCTCGGAGATGTTGCAGGTTCATAGTAAATGTGCAGTAGCATTATGTCTAAAAAGTGTGCATACCTTAATTAAAAGACACTTTATTGCTTAAAAATGCTGACTATCATCTGAGCCTTCAACAAGTCATAATCTTTTTGCTGGTAAGGGCCTTGCCTTGGTGTTTGTGAAAATGCAATATCTACGAAGCACAATAAAACGAGATATGCCTGCACTACGTGATAAAACTGTTTTTGTAAGGATGTGGCAAGCAGTTACTTGTATAAATTCCAAGTTTGATGTTCCAAATAAAATCCTTTTTTTCACCTACATTCAAAGCTCTAGCCAGCCATTTTTGAACATTTCAAGCACATGAGAAAATGAGATGAGCCCTGATCAGTGTGGCTCAGTTGATTGGAGCATTCTCCCATATACCACAAGGTGGCGAGATCAATTCTCCATCAGGGCACATACACAGTATGTGGGGTCGATCCCCACTGGGGCAGGTGCAGAAGGCAACAGATCGATCTTTTTCCTCTCACATTAATGTCTTTCTCTCTCTCAAAAAATTAATTTACTTTTTTTAAAAAAAGTTGAAGAGTTATAGCAGAAAAAAGAATGGCAAAAATCAATCATTAACTATGCATAAATATCAAATTGTATACTATTATGGTGGATGTCTGGTGTATCAACATTGTATTGGCATTATTTTAAATATGATTAAAATTCTTGTAAATCAGATTATTCAGCATGAAATACTGTGCTTATTTAGAATTTGAATGTAACTACTAACTTTGGAGTTTAGAAAAAAGTATGAAGGTGTTGCATTATTATAAAGCCACTTTCTTATATATACTTAATCATTTACAGTTAAGTTAATGTGAAATTCTTTAAGGAACTAAGCTAGGGTCTAGTATTTTGGTGTCTTATAGAATTATCTTTCTTTCATACAAGTTATGAAATGCTGCAAGATAATGTTGAAGGATATCGCCGAGAAATAACATCTCTACATGAGAGAAATCAGAAACTCACGGCAACAACTCAGAAGCAGGAACAGATCATCAATACGATGACGCAAGATTTGAGAGGAGCAAATGAGAAGCTAGCTGTTGCAGAAGTGAGACCAATTTCTGTCATCTGACTTGCATGATGAATTGCATTTGACATTTTTTTTTTATTATTACTATAATTTTACTGTTTGGTATGACATAGATATTTGGGAGGTTTGTGTATTACAAGTCCTTATTACATAGTTTCCAAACACAGTTGACCCTTTATCAGGGTTTGAACAGTATAGGACTACTTATCCATAAATTTGCATATAAGTGGACCCCGTATAAGTAAACCAGTACAGTTCAAATCCATGTTGTTCAGGGGTCAATAGTAGTTAGATCCAAGGTTGGGAATCTGTAGGCAGAAGATCAACTTAAGTTAATACATGGATTTTCACCTATGTATGCAGTTGGTGCCCCTAATTGCTATGTTGAAGGGTCAACTGGATCCAGTTGTGCATCAGCTGGCTGTTTGTTTCTATTAAAACTGAAGGGGAACCCTGACCTGTGTGACTCCGTAGGACATTGGCCCATGCACCTAAGGATTGCCGGTTCAATTCCTGATCAGGGCACATGCCTGGGTTTCAGGCTCTATCCCTGATTGGGGGGGGGGGGGTGCGGGGGACAGATGATCCATGTGTCTCTCTCTCTCTTTCACTCTGAAACAGATAATAACCAAGTTACCTTCTAAAACATGCATGATTTAATAGTATGCAAGTAGACCGTACCATAATTTTATAATTGTGTTTCTTCTGTTCTCACCTTTTAGGTTTTTTTGTTGTTTGTTTTCAAGTCTGATTTGTTAGAGCAAAGAAATTATAAGTATATGTGGTAATTGCAAGATTTTTTTCCTTTGATCTGTTGGTGTTCCCAGTTATTTTTGTTTCCTAGTTCAACACTTGAAACTAAGTTATATCTTCGTATATGATGAGAAGATGTCATCTCTAGCATTAAGAATTATGGAATAATAAAGGATCATTTTAATTTTATAATTGCATTATTACATTTGACACATTGTTTTCCAACATTTTTTAATTTTGTATTTTCTTCAAGGTAAGAGCAGAAAATTTGAAAAAAGAAAAGGAAATGCTAAAGTTGTCAGAAGTTCGGCTTTCTCAGCAAAGAGAGTCTTTGTTAGCTGAACAAAGAGGGCAAAACTTACTGCTAACTAATCTACAGACAATTCAGGTAACCAAATAAAAAGGCATATATAGAAAACAATTTGAAAGTTAAATTTAAATAGTTTTAACATTGTATCTTCTCAATTTTCTTAATTAGAAAATGTATCTCATTTTTTGTCATGTATTTTGATCATTGAATTTTGAGGATTATTAATATGTGTCAATGAATACATAAAACATTAAGATCTGAAATTTATGCACTTGGCAGTTTTGATCTTCAGGTCTATATTTACAGGGTGTTGGGTATTTTAACAGTTTATAAGATTAAATTTTTTTATTTAAAACTTGAAGAAATCTGAATGACTATTGTAATATATTTTATGTTGTAGGTGCTTTAATATGTAAAATGTCAAAATAACTTTCTTAGTCAATGTCATAGATCTTCATGTAGAAAGGGGTTGTAATCCTTTAATTGTATTGCTTTTTTTATTTTTATTTTTAAAAGCATAACTGAAAATCTTTTTTTACCTTAGGGAATACTAGAGCGATCTGAAACAGAAACCAAACAAAGGCTTAGTAGCCAAATAGAAAAACTGGAGCATGAGATATCTCATCTGAAAAAGAAGTTGGAAAATGAGGTGGAACAAAGGCATACACTTACTAGAAATCTAGATGTGAGTCTGTCAGGATTCTGAATTTCTGTGGATTTGTTTATGTTTAGTCATCAAGCTGGTGTGTGGACACACTGCCATCTCATGTTGAAGCATGGTTTTAATGAGACTTTACAAACAAGTTTTTCTCGCCTCTTTGTGTGCCTAATAACTTTTACTAGGTTGCCATACATTGTTAGTTTTATCCTCTTGGGTGCTGGATATTTTTGTATTTCTGTAAATCTTGAGCTTTGTTCTCTTTAGTATGGTGTTTTTATCATTTATTAGGCAGACCCAAATCAGTGCTTAGTCTAGAATACATTATTCCTCCTTACTGAGGTTAGACCTTCCTGAGTCCTGGTCCTCAGTGTTGGATGGATTATGAGTTTTTTCAGTCTGGCTACTGGGAACAGGCATTATTCCTCACTCTCTGTGAGTGCCAGGCTCTTTTCACTCTAGTCTCTTGGATGATTCTTGACCCTGTCTGCGGTAATTTCACATGCATGCCCTGATCAGTTTCACTGAATATTTGAGAGGGATCTTCTGCAAATCTCCAAGGTATTCTTAGCTTTCTAATAGTCTGTTTTACAAATTCAAACTAATTTAGCTTTCTTACTAATTTAGATCTGCATAAAACTCAGTTCTGTTTTCTCAACTTATGGGGTCTGCTGACCTCTGCCTCATTTCCCTTTCACTGTGCCATAGCCTGGACACTCTTATCTCAGTAACCTAGGAGAGTTGTAGAACTAGGCTTTCAACCCACAATTGTGAAATTGTTTTATATGTTGTATCAATTTCTGGTTTTTTGTTTGTTTGTTTGCATGGGGTGGGGAGGTTGGTGGGGTGTTGTTTCAGATGGGAAAGTAAATCTAGTTTCTCTTACTCTATCTTGGCCAGAGTTTTGAAGTTCTATAAAAATATTAACTTGAACTTCTAGTTATTTAAAAACAGTGTTTATGGGGTTAATGTATTTTTTTTCTTCTAGGTTCAACTTTTAGATACAAAGAGGCAGTTGGATACTGAGACAAATCTTCATCTTAACACAAAAGAACTATTAAAAAATGCTCAGAAGGAAATTGCTACATTGAAACAACACCTCAGTAATATGGAAGTCCAGCTTGCTTCTCAGTCCTCACAGAGAACTGGTAAAGGTAAATAAATAATTAGACTGGTAAAGTATTTCTATAGAAACATTTGTAACATCTGTCAATAAAATTAATTTATAGATCTGCATAAATTAATAGATTTGTAGACTTGGAAGATTCAGAATAGTTCTGCAGGCATCTGACCAAGATATGCTCTTAGTTTTCTGATTGTTG